AAATGTCTGGAATAATTTTTTGCGTTATTTTATTTTGGTGCAATCACTTCATAGTCATTGTTAAAAGTGCTTTTATCATTGTTTTTCAACTCTCTTCCCTGCTCTCTTATCCCCCGCTCTCCCCTCCGATCCTCTCTTCTCTTTTTTTCCCTTTCTTCAACACTTCTTCTTGGGAAACTTGAAGACCATAAGCGTGTTTTTGAACCAGGGGAGCGATGCAGTATCCCGAAGTTTCCTCTCGGCCTCCTCGTCGGCCACTAAGCCCCGTTCTGCCATACTCGCCTTAATATACTCGTTTTCTCGGGTGTTGACGTGGTGGTGCCCGTCCTGGCCTGGCACTGCCCATGACAGCACGATGGAAAAGGGAGAGAAGGGAGAGAGAGGGTGAGAGAGAGAGAGGGTGAGGGAGATGAGAGGGAGAGGGAGATGGGAGAAGAGAGGGAGAGAGGGAGGGTGAGGGAGAGAGAGGAGAGGGTGAGAGAGAGGGAGAGAGAGAGAGGGGAGAGAGGTGAGAGGGAGAGAGAGAGAGAGAGAGGGAGAGAGAGAGAGAGAGAGAGAGAAAGAGAGAGAACGAGACAAGTACACACTAACACACACACACACACACACACACACAAAACATACAATGACAGAAAAAAAATCCCGCAGCCCCGCCCACCACTGCACCAAACCCACCACGATCCCAACCCCCCTCCGCAACCCCACCTGTGCAGGCGTGCTTCACCAGATTATCCATGAAGACGCCCTCGAACGCCCTCGGGATGTGCTCCCCGACCTCGAGGCTCAGAACCCAGTCGAACCTCGCGCCACATCCACGCGGCGGGCGAGGTTCAGCCGGCCGATCCTGCCGCGGCTCAGACGGGCGATGTTGGCCGCGCCGTCCCACCCTTCGGGGAGGGAGGGGGAGGGGAGAGGAGGGAGGGAGAGGAGAGGGAAGGGAGGGGAGGAGGGAAGGAGGGAGGGAGGGAGGAGGAGGAGGGAGGAGGGAGGGGGGGAGGGGAGGAAGGGAGGGAGGAGGAGAGAGGAGGGGAAGGGGAAGGGAGGGAGGGGAGAGGAGGAGGGAAGGGGAGGGGAGGGAGGGGAGAGGAGGGAAGGGGAAGGGAGGGAGGGAGAGGAGGAGGGAAGGGGAGGGAGGGAGGGAAGGGAAGGGAGGGGGGAGAGGAGGAGGGAAGGGAAGGGGAGGGGAGGGAGGAGGAAGGGAAGGGAGGAGGAGGAGGAGGAGGAAGGGAGGGGGAGGGAGGGGGAGGAGGAGGAGGGGAGGGGAGGGAGGGAAGGGAGGGGAAGGAGGGGAGGAGAGGAGGAAGGGAGGAAGGGAGGGAGGGAGGGAGGGGAGGGAGGGGAGAGGAGGAGGGAAGGGGAGAGAGGAGGAGGAGGGAGGGGAGGGGGTGAGGGGGAGGAGGAGGGAGGGGAGGGAGGGGAGGGGAGGAGGAGGAGGGAAAAGGGGAGAGGGAGGGGGAGGAGGAGGGAAGGAGGAGGGAGGGGAGGGGAAGGAGGAGGGGAGGGAGGAGGGAAGGGGAGAGAGGAGGGAAGGGAGGGGAGGGAGGGGAGGGAGGAGAGGGTGGGGAAGGGGAGAGGAGGAGGGAAGGGGAGGGGAGGAGCGGAGAGGAGGAGGGAAGGGAGGGAGGGAGGGGAGGGGAGAAGGAGGAGGGAAGGGAGGGAGGGGAGAGGGAGGGAGGGGGGGGAGAGGAGGAGGGAGGGAGGGAGAGGAGGAGGGGAGGGGAGGGAGGGAAGGGAAGGGAGGGGAGAGGAGGAGGGGAGGGGAGGGAGGGGAGAGGAAGAGGGGAAGGGAGGTTAGGGAGGGGAAGGAGGAGGGAAGGGGAGGGGAGAGAGGAAGGGGAGGGGAGAGAGGGGAGAGGAGGAGGGAAGGGGAGGAAGAGGAGGAGGGAAGGGGAGGGAGGGGGAGAGGAGGAGGGTAAGGGCAGGGGAGGGAGGGGAGGGAGGAGGGAGGGGGAGGGAGGAGGTTGGAGAGGGAGGGGAGGGAGGGGAGAGGGGGGAGGGGAGAGGAGGAGGGGAGGAGGGGGAGGAGGAGGGAGGGGAAGGGGAGAGCGGAGGGAGAGGAGAGGAGGAGGGGAGGGAGAGGGATAGAGGAGGAGGTGAGGAGAGGAGAGGAGGGAGGGGGAGGGACGAGAGGGGAAGGGTGGGAGGATGAAGGAGGGAGGAGGGGAAGGAGGAGAGGAGGAGGGGAAGGAGGAAGGAGGCAAGGGAGGGGAAAGGAGTGAGAGGAGGTGGATGAGAGAAGTAGGGAGGGGAGGAGGGGGTGGATGAGAAGGGAGGAGAGGAGGGGTGAGGAGGGAGGAGAGGGATACCAGGTAAGAAGAATGAGGAGAAAGGTGAAGGGAAAAGAATATTTAATCATTTTCATCATAATAATCATCATCACATCGTTATCATCATCACATCGTTATCATCATCATCACAAAAGACACCAACAACCACCACATCACCACCACCATCACCATTATCATCACCTCCACCACCACCATCATAATCCTCCTTCTCATCATCACAAAAAGACAACAACAACCACCACATCATCACCACCACCACCATTGCCATCATCGCCATTACCATCATCATCACCACCACCACTATCATCATCCTTCTCATCATCATCACGAAAAGACACCAAACACTACCACATCAGCACCATCGCTATCATCATCATCATCACATCATCACAAAAAGACACCAACCACCACCACATCATCACCGTACGAACCTTTCCACGAGCGAACGACCTGCCCTCTACCGGTGAGATTCGCAGCCGCCATTTCCCGCGCGAAATTCCCCGCCATCTCCGCCTTCTCGCCCTCGTCTACGGTTTCCACAAAGCTCTTGTAACTCCTGAGGAAGCACTGGCCGTAGTGACCGAGACCGGCGCCGAAGTCAGCCACGTTCGCGCCTCCGAACAAGTCCTCCAGCGCCCGGCACAGCTGTGGGGGAGAGGGAGGTGAGGGGGGGAGGGAAGAGGGAAGGGAGGAGGGGGGATTTAGGAAGAAGGGAAGGGAAGGGGAAAGGGAGAGGGGAGAGAAGGAAGGAAAGAGGGGGAAGGGAGGGAATGGGAAAAAAGGAGAGGGAAGGAGGAGAGGGGAGCGAGGAGAAAGGGTAGGAAATAGGACAGGCAAGAAGAGGGAGGAAGGGCAGGAGGGGGAAGGGGAAAAGGAAGGGGCGAAAGGAGAGGAAAAGGGATATATATATATATATATATATATATATATATATATATATATATATATATATATATATATATATATTGAATATCGAGATGTGACTATCCGCATGTTTTTTTTTATATTGTTTTATCAGTTTAATGAAGCACGAATTTATTGGATCCTGGACTTATCTGCACGTGTTACATTTTTAATTGGTTCCGAGTGGTATTAATCGCACTATATAATTTCAGTCTGTTGGAAACAATCATCGCTTCTTTTTGGTATAGCTCTTTTCATCGTTTATATATCATCAATAAATGTTATGATAAAAACAGTTACAGTACATAATAACACCAGCATGTGTTAGAATATTTACATTTAGCCCTGCACCCTCTCAAAACCTATTTAGAGAATTATATTGTACTACTCATTCGTACATCATACTGACACTTGACTACATCCGATCTAATCCAATTATCATTAGAATCGGAAAAGGAAAGAGAAATAAAAAAGAAAAAAGACTAACCCAACCGTCCCAGAGGAAATTCCCGCCACTAAACGCCTTGGAATCGTCCACACAAAAACCACCAGATGGCATCACGTCGAAGGCATTGCAGTAAAGGCGGTCAATGTAGTCAAGAATCTCCTGCTGCACTTTATTCATGCTGTTCTGAAGGCGAAATCAAAGCCAAATCCAGTCAGTGTTGGAAATGAATATCCAGATTGATATTGGAAATAAATTTATTACATGTAAAATGAATTAATTGCGGAATGAATACCCAGTTTACTTAAGGTAAATACCAAATTTGATACAGTAAATGAGTGTCCGTTGTTTACGTTGAAAATATTGAGAACAAAACGATCCTATTTTACAGTGCTAATTGAAAGATGGAATAATGCACTACCGCCTTTATATCATGAATAGATTAACCTCTCCGATCGGGATTCGATTCCTCCCCGCCATTGCAAGAGATTGCAAGGCGGACGCTCTCACCACTAGGCCACCACACCACTAGGGGGATCGTGCAACCAGGCGCCACCGAGCGCCTTGGACATTACCTAACTACTCAAACATGAGTAAGTATTGCGAGATTTAACACAATCCCTGTGGGCATTCTGGACTTATTCATGATATATATGCGGTAGTGCATTATTCCATCTTTCATCAATATACCTCAGGTTATCTGATTTGAGGTTTGATTTGCTCTTTCCATAAGTCCCGAATGCCCACGGGGATTGTGTGTAAAATCTCACTATAATTACTCATGTATGAGTAGTTAGATAATGTCCATGGCGCTAGGTGGCGCCTGGTTGCTCAATCCTTTTAGCGGGTGGTGGCCTAGTGGTGCGAGCGTCCGCCTTGCAATCTCTTACAACGACGGGGAGGGATCGAATCCCAATCGGAGAGGTTAGTATATTCACAGTGTTATTTGTATAGATAGAAACCAAAACTTCCTTATATCTACCCAATCGGCTGGTCTGTTCAAATTGGGCGACATGCATATCCACAGAAATAAATGCATATCTGTCTACCTGATAGATGTACACTTCTCTATCCTCTATCCGGGAGATATGCGTCTAGATGGATAAACGTGCATCATCGTCGGTATATATATATATATATATATATATATATATATATATATATATATATATATATATATATGTGTGTGTGTGTGTGTGTGTGTGTGTGTGTGTGTGTGTGTGTGTGTGTGTGTGTGTGTGTGTGTGTGTGTGTGTGTGTGTGTGTGTGTGTCTGTATGTATGTATGTATGTAAAGTGAATATTCACCGGGTCGGTCCTCGCATATTGTGAGCAAACCAAAGAGACAGACAGAGCCACGTTTACCATTCTCCGCAGGATGGAGGCGCTCTGGGCGTCAGGAGCGACGTGGCTGTTCCACAGGATCGTCGCCGCTGCAGACAGGACGACCGCATACGACACCAACAGCAAAAACTTGCGATGCATCTGCTTGGATATAAAACATTGGTAGGTGTAAGTAGCAAAAAATATTTACAAATATATTAAATATATTCAAATATATTTAAATATATAGCAATGAACAAATATTTGGCCGTTTGCTAAGGTGCAGATGCTAAAAAAGTAGATGAATTAAAATTAAATTTCCGATCATGATGACCGTAATAGTGATGATGATGAAAAGAGCAGGAATAACGGTAGTGGTGATAATGATAATGATGGTGATGATGATAAATGAAAATTATAATCAATACTAATAATAAGCAAAAGCAAAGGAATTAAAGGCAACTTACACTTCAGAACGGACAATTAAGAACTTCCCTGTTATATCGCAAAACGTAAACTGAGGTAAAAGAGCAAGTGTGCGAGACTTCAAAGCAATAGCGTACACGTGTTAATGTACCTGTATGTTATATGTTTGTGTGTGTGTGTGTGTGCTTGTGTGTGTGGAGTATCTAACCCATGCTGCACGTAGAAACCCCATAAACATTTCAGGCTCACTGATGTCACCATGGATTCAAGTGTTCGAGTCAGACGCCCTAAAAAACGTAAACAATCTTGCCAGTAAAACGCTACTTTCTGTGCCTTTCACATTTGACTTCACTGTTACACAATGGAGGAAAATAATGTTCATCTCTCTTTTTTTCTCACCTAAAAAAACATTAATTACCCTATGTCGGTGTGCATACCTTTTCTCTGATTGGCGAAATAGCTAGAAATAAAGCATTTGTAATTCACATGATGGCATGAGTCATGTTAAGATGGAGGGACTGAGAGAGAGAGAGAGAGAGAGAGAGAGAGAGAGGCAGACACAGACAGACAGACAGATAGACACAGACAGATGGACAGAGAGGAACAGGCAGATAGACAGACAATGAGAAAGAGAGAAATTAAGGGGAAATAATGAACATAAGATAATCATCAACATCATTACTTTCTCACGCAAAAATAACAACAATGATAATAATAATAATGATGATGATGATAATAACAACAATAATAAAAACTGAATCTGTTTAGAGAGAGAGAGAGAGAGAGCGAGAGATAGAGACAGAGAGAGGAGGAGAAAGTAAGGGAGAAAGAGAGGGTAACAGGCAGACAGTCAGACAGACAGAAAAAGGGTTGTCTAAGCCCGAGCGAAATTCCTTCTTATCTCCCCCGGGCCCACACTTTCTCCAGCATTTCAGTGGAGATTTCGCAAGCACATTTCCGGCGCTCATTCTGGCGGTTAATGTCTGCCGAGAAGACTAATAGGATTTTCTAACTTTAGTTCATTTTACTGTTTTGATTAGATTTAGATAAAATGCTAGTGGATTCAGACAAAATGCTAGAGGATTCAGACAAAATGTTAGGGAATTTAGATGGGAATTACAAAATTGGGAATTCAGACAAAAAGGGAATTCAGAAAAATGTTGGGAATTCAGACAAAATGTTGGAATTCAGACATGTTAGGGAATTCAGACAAAATGTTAGGAATTCAGACAAAATGTTAGGGAATTTAGACAAAATGTTAGGGAATTCAGACAAAATGTTAGGGAATTCAGACAAAATGTTAGGGAATTCAGACAAAATGTTAGGGAATTCAGACAAAATGTTAGGGAATTTAGAAAAATGTTAGGAATTAGACAAAATGTTAGGGAATTTCAGACAAAATGTTAGGGAATTCAGACAAAAATGTTAGGGAATTCAGACAAAATGTTAGGGGAATGTTTCAGACAAAATGTTAGGGAATTCAGACAAAATGTTAGGGAATTCAGACAAAATGTTAGGGAATTCAGACAAAATGTTAGGGAATTCAGACAAAATGAATTCAGACAAAATGTTAGGGAATTCAGACAAAATGTTGGGGAATTCAGACAAAATGTTAGGGAATTCAGACAAAATGTTAGGAATTCAGACAAAATGTTGGGAATTCAGACAAAATGTCAAATTACAAAATGTTAGGGAATTCAGACAAAATGTTGGGGAATTCAGACAAAATGTTAGGGAATTCACTGATAATGAGTGCCGTTATTAAATGGCAATATTGATAATGAGCGGTCATCGGGGATAATGAGGATCACTGATAATGAGGCGTCTCCCGCGCTGCGTCGGCCCCGCCTTCGGAAACACTAATCGCCAAGGGTCACACGCCGCGCAGGGGGCTTGTAGCCCTCGGAAAACAAAATGGCGGCGGGGCAGGCCGACGTGCCTTGGCTGCCCGCAAAGGCGCCGGGCTGCACCGCTCTGGCATCGCCGGAATTCTCGGCTGTGTGCAACGCCGACTGATGATGAGTGCCGTTGTTAGATGGCAATGATGATATGAGGGGTCATCGGGGATAATGAGGATCACTGATAATGTGCCGTTATTAGATGGTAATAATATGTGATATGATTGAGGGTCATCGGGGAGGAGGGGAGGAGGGGAGGGGAAGGTCCTAAGAAGAAGGGACGGGGGAAAACAAAGAAAAAAGAGAAAAACAATCCAATTAATGAGTTTTCATAACATTATGATAATAATATTGGATGCGGTATCTGGCTGTGATCGAGCTGGCTATGAGATGTCTGTCGGTCCCCATGGTTCAGGAGCTGATGCCGGTAGCGAGAATAGCCTCCTTTTCCGGGACTTTGCTAGGTCCCAGAAATTGAGGATTTCTGGCTCCTGGTACCAGCGCCCAGACCCACATCGCTGGACATGGTACAGTGATGCGGGTAACGCAGCCAAGGAGATCGACCACATACTTGTTAGCACTCGTTGGAGGATCCTTCAGAATTGCAGGGTGTACAGGAGTGCTGAGTTCTGTGGTACTGACCATAGACTGGTTGTGGTTCCCTCCGGGTCCACTTCAAAACTCCCCAGCGGCCAAATGATCACCCTAGGGTGTTTCATTTGGACAGGCTGAGGGAGGGGGAGTGTGTTTGCTGAGGCAATCTCTGATCGTTTCGTAATGCTTGACAGTCTGACAGACCCTGTTCTTCTGTGGGATACCTTCAAGCGTGAAACGCTTGATGCAGCTCAAGATATGATTGGTGTACGCCTGAGAGCAGTACAGAATTCCATTTCGCAGGAGACACTGGAAGCCACAGATTGCATGTCGTGCGGCTCGTCTGACAGGGGATCGGGAATTGCACCGTTCTCATGTGCGCAGAACTCGGTTCCTGTTAAGAATGGATAAGGAACAGTTTATTAGGAGTCTTGCAGAGGAGGTAGAAGGCCATTTCTTAGTAAATGACCTTCGTCCTGCATACCAAGCCCTGAGAAAGATTAATTCCAAGCCCTCTTCACAGGTGACAGCAGTTCGCTCAGTAAGTGGTCAGATCGTTTCAGATCCTGTTGCGGTGCGGGAACGTTGGGCTGAGTATTTTGAGCAGCAGCTGTACCAGGTTGACCCACCAACAGTTAACTTGGATGCGGGTAGTGTCGAGATCCCTCTGCCGGGATCCACCCATCAGTGAGGACCCTCCCTCCCTAACGGAAGTTAGGGGGCGATTTCCAAGCTGAAGAGTGGTAAAGCAGCAGGTATTTGCGGTATGATACCAGCTGAACTTAATGGCTGGTGGTGAAACTATGCACGGGGGTTACATGCTGTCCTGGCTGTCATCTGGCTGTCCGGTACCGTTCCTCCTGACCTGTTGAGGGGTGTGGTCATCCCTCTCTGGAAGGGGAAGGGGGACCGTTGGGACTGCAGCAATCACCGAGGCATCACACTGCTCAGTATACCAGGCAAGGTTCTCGCCCACATCCTTCTGAAACGTATCAGAGATCATCTACTGAGGCACCAGAGACTGGAGCAAACCGGATTCACTCCTGGTAAGTCCACAATAGACCGTATCCTCGCCCTTCGAGTCATTGTAGAGCGCCGCCGTGAGTTCGGGCGTGGGCTGCTTGCAGTATCGACCTCAAGAAGGCGTTCGATACGGTACATCGGGAGTCACTTTGGGAGATCCTGAGGCTGAGAGGAATTCCAACAAGGATTATTGGACTAATAGCAAGCCTGTATACTGGCACTGAGAGTGCTGTAAAGTGTGGTGGGGGCCTGTCGAGCTTCTTTCCTGTTAGTTCAGGAGTGAGGCAAGGCTGTGTCCTTGCACCAACTCTTTTCAACACTTGCATGGATTGGATACTGGGCAGAGCTACTGTTCAAAGTCATTGTGGAGCAACACTGGGCAATATCAAGGTTACAGACCTTGACTTTGCTGATGATGTTGCCATTCTATCTGAGTCTTTGGAAACCTAGTGGCGGCTCTCGATGCATTTAGCAATGAAGCGAAACCCTTGGGTCTAGAGGTCTCCTGGACCAAGACCAAGGGCCAGGAATTTGGGGACTTGTTTACATACCTTGGTAGTGTAGTTCATAACTCTGGGCAGTCAGACCATGAAGTCAGCAGACGGATTAGCCTGGTGGACTGGTGGGAGCAGAGGTCATGAACTCTCTCAACAAGAGTATTTGATGTCAGTACCTGTGCAGAAGGACCAAGCTACTGGTTTTCAAGGCCCTGTTAATACCAGTTTTGCTATACGATAGCGAAACCTGGACATTGTCCTGTGCCTTGGAGGCTCGTCTTGAAGCCTTTTGTAATAGGTCCTTGCGCCAGATCATGGCGGGACCATGTGTCCAACCAACGGTTGCACCGTGAGACTGGCACAGGGCCTGTTATCTGCACAATCCGTGATCGCCAACTCAGGCTATACGGCCACCTGGCTCGCTTTCCTCAGGATGATCCTGCCCATCAGGTCGTCTCTGTTCGAGACAACCCTGGGTGGAGGAGGCCTGTGGGACGACCGAGGAAGTCGTGGCTTGGGCAGATCGACCAAACCTGCCGTGAAGAACTAGAGATGGGCCGAGTCCCTGCCTGGCGTCTGGCCATGAGGGATCCTCGTAGGTGGAAGCGAAGGGTGGATGCGGCTATGCGCCTCCGTCGGGGTCAGCTTGATGATGATGATGATGATAATATTATTATTATTACTGTTATTATTATTGTTTTCATAATTAATAATATTATTATTGTTTCTTTTCGAGTGAAAGATGCTGTTAGATTTTTTGTTTGTTTGTTTTTATTGTTGTTATTATTACTACTGTTATTGTTATTGTTATCACTAATATTATTATTATTTTCATTATCATTATTATTATAATCGTTTTAATGATCTTTATTATCACTATCAATATCATAATTATCTTTATTATCCTTTTTATTACTATCATTATTATTTTTTACCATTATCATAATTATTAGTATCATTATATATTTTTTTACCATTGTCATTATCATTATCATCATTGTTATCACTATAATTATCACTATCATCATCACTATCAGTATTATCATTATCTTTATTATTATCATCTTTATTACTATCGTTATTACTTTTTGCCATTATT